TTAACTTTTCATTATAATACTATGAAAAACGTTTCAAAACGTGTTCATAAACAGAAATGCATTTTTTAGTTATACAATGTTACACTTTTAAAACTTGAACTTTGAAATAGAAATCCTTTCGTAACGATATGCAATCTAATCACAATTGATTTTTTAAACGTTAGACTTTGAAGCTAACCATTGAAACAAAACGTTTCTGTGCATTATGGTCAAAAACGTTGCAAGTATTAGAAAAATAACGTTACGTTTCCATAAAGCACTAACGTTAGGTGTATGTCCCTCTTACGTTAATGTTTAACGTTAACTTTAGGTATAAGCTGTGGTATCTGGGAACCACAAAACGTGCATTGAACTGGTATATAAAATCTACACTTAATAAGATTTATACAAGTACTCAAACCTGTTTATATCTATCATGTGTGTAACCTGTTGACACTGCAGCGGTCCGGGATGTACTGATCCATCTGGCTTCCTGTTGGATTCAAGGGACTGTTCACTCATATATCAAACAATCCGGAATACAACAAAGCACATATAACGTTAACGTTGGACGTTCATCTTATATAGAATATATTCAAACGTTTCCTATAACTGTAACAAAAACGTACATTTTATGTTACGTTACATTATCGTTGACAACTCTATACCGTAGTGTGTTTAACTGGCAGTATTAACTTTAATTGAGGGATTAATCGTATAAAAGTGTCCAAATTTGATGTCTAGATCAATCATTCAATTTCACAAACGCGAAAGTTCCGATCTCAAGGTAAATAAACTAAATCTGTATTTTTTGCATATTTTTTTGCATATTTGTACAGTGCAGGATGATACAAGGCAGGTCGGTGACAATATATTATATTACATTTTATTTGAACCATAAATACTGCACCCCGGATTAACCAGAGTGCGCAGCATCCGGTTTCTTCTATTTGAAATCAAACGTATTTTTGTCTATAATTTAACAATCTTTTACCTTACAGATTTGTTTATTTTATACTTTTTCATTCAAAATTGCATATACCGACAAAAAAGCATCGAAAACAAAAGGCTAAAAAATTATGTTTAATGGGTCAAATTGTGATCGAAAGTCACAGCTTTCTGGAATATTGACAGAACCGTTAAATCCACGTGACTGGTGTCTTCCAGTAATGTTCTATTATAATAAAACTATAATATGTTAGCTTTATATTTTTTGAGGGAACCCATGAGTACCTGGAGGGTAAGAAAGGCTAAAAAGAATCGATTTTTTCCCTCCAAAAGTTTTTTCTCAAAATTCGAAATTTTTATTTTTGTAATTTTGTTGAAATGTCGTCTTCATTTAACACATTCATAAGTTCGTCGAAAGGAAATGGCCTCTAAGGACCCCGTTTTTTTAATTTCCAACGTCGTCTTTATTTTCACTGAAGGTCTGTCTTCAAATTCCAATTTTTTTCTTTCCTGTGACACATTTTTCTATTTTAAGTATACTTCATGTCTTTCTGAGTCACTTTATTACTCCCTGAGTCATTTTATATTGAATATTCACATGTGTACTGCTCTGTTTAGTGTTTAAGGTCCCACCAGATTTTTTTATGTACTGACAACATAAATGAATGCTTTTATGGGTTACATAAAATTCCGTGTTTCTATTTCAAAAACGATTATATGAAAATGATATCTACAGTTTTTATTTTTACAACAAAGATTATTTCTCAAAAATATAAAAAAAATTTCTCCATTAATACTAATATGCTTTCGTAAAATTCCGTGTTACCGTTTAAGTAAAAGGATTTTTTGAAAATGATATCTTCTTTACACCAATTATTTTTCAAAAAAGTTCAGTTTCTCTAAAATATAAAAAATATTCTCTCGCAAAATACGCCTTGTTGCTATACCTAGCTGTTTCTATACATTGTTTTTCTACTTGCCTCCGTTTAGTTACATTCTCCTCTATGCAGGGGTCTGGACATCTGTATAGAAACTGAGCTATCAATGGGTCAATGTCTATTTCTACGCAGTTTTTGGACACTTATAAAAAAAATGGCTTGGTTCCATTTTAACAGGTTTTGGACACTTCCACTGTCTTCCAATTTCGACTAGGCTACAACATTTCTTCAATCTATCTTTGTAGTAGATCTTGAAGAGAAGAGATCCTGAAGTACCAGACGATACAGTCAATGCCTCAGCTCACGACGAACTGAAATATAAATAATATGGAATTGAATCGTCCTCATGTGCATAGTATTCATATTCATAGTATTCATCAAGAAATATATAGACCAGGAACCGCCATATCTGATGCGTCAAATTTGTGTACTGCAGTGGGAGGCGATCAAAACAAAGAATTCAGGGGCAAAACATCAATTATGAGGGGGGGGGGNGGAAACAAGGATAAGTGGGAATCTTTTTACCTTGCTTCTCCTTTATAGTTGAACAAATCTCACTGAGCATGAATAAATTTTCCATATTGATCTGAAACCCAAAAATCATATTTAAATAAATAATTTGTATCCGCACTAACTTAATATATTAACTAGTTTCTTTTGTTTTTGACTGTAACATCACTCTGTTTATCAGTGTTTAATCCTTTCTCTTCAACTGCTGTGGGGGCACTGGATTTGTTTACATTCCTCCCACAGTGTACAGTACACAATTTGCGTATATCTGAGTTGGGCGTTCCTGGTCTATATATTTGTTGGTATTCATATTCATCATATTCAGAAGATAGAGTCAATGGCTCAGATCCTTGTGTCAATATATAAGCAACTCGTACAAATTTTACATTGTTTTTTAGGAGAATCCCTAAAGTCATGGTTTGAGTTAGAACAATTCCAAAACCATCTGGGGCTTTCTGGATATTCGTATGCTGTGAAAGTGCAAAAAACTGTGAATGAATGTGGACAAACATAGTCTTTACTATCTTTTTCACCTTATAATTCATAAACATGATTTTAATAAGATACAGAGCGTCCCATATCATATTAGATAATCTCTAATCTTTAACGACAAAATAAACCCTTAATACTCGAAAAACTTATCATTTTCCGCAAGAAAATTCTTATATAAGCCGGCCTTATGTTATTTTTCAAATTGATTTATTCTAATTAAATTTTCTTATTTGTCCCGAAAATCGCAATTTAGACCCGTTGACGGTCTAATATGATGTGGGACACCCTGTATGTTACCCTCTGTTCCAACCCTTCCGCTGAGTACACTCCGTTTCGTCTGTACTTCCTCCAAACCTTTTTACCTTTTTCCTGATTTATGATCATTTTTATGTTTAAAATGTACACTGCACAGTTTTTACCCATGTTACCCATTACAATTCTCATTCCCTTATAATGGGCCAACCAATTCTGGTACAGCGGGTTCAAACTACATACATAGATATAGGAACTGGAGGTATAGGTTCAGATATAGACACTGGAGGTACAAGTTCATATATAGGAACTGGAGGTACAGGTTCAGATATAAGAACTGGAGGTACAGGTTCGGATATAGGAACTGGAAGTACAGGTTCAGAAATAGGAACTAGAGGTGCAGGTTCAGAAAATAGGAACTGGAGGTAAAATTTCAGATATAGGAACTGGAGGTACAAGTTAAGATATAGGAACTGGAGGTACAGGTTCAGAAATAGGAACTGGAGGTACAGGTTCAGATATAGGAACTGGAGGTACAAACAAAGCATTCAGATATTACAAACATAGTCATCGCTTATTTTTCGACGCATTCGTATAAAGTTAATATTTCATAACATTTTTGCTTTTGTTTTTTTTAAATGATATTTCGCTGGCGCTGGATTTTTGAACATTCCTGGAAGATATGAAAATGTCGAAACATGAAAAAAAGTTTTCAAAAGTAACTCTCAGATCATGAAACATAAAAAAATAAATATTATTAAGTATTAACTATATACGAATGCGTCGAAAAGTTATGAATAATTAGCTTGGAATTAAATTGATTATTTTACGATCCGGGTTGAATGTTGCAACTTTCTTAATTTGGTTATCAAAAAAAGGTCTGGTCGGAAAAAATAATGGTGAACGCAATACCAAGAAGTTGGTTTTGTCACGTTTTTTTGTGGTCGGACGAAAAAAAAGTTGAAGTGTGCCTTCCCTCCCTCACACTACAAAAATAGGTTTGTACTTAACTTTAGTGAACATTTAGAGTTTAAAGTGTACACACTACACACACATCGTGTTTTATCTTTTGAAATAACAAGTCATCATGCTTATTTGCAGTTATCTACTAGACCTTAGCTTGGTAACAAATAAATATATATTGATAAAATCAATTTATTTTTCAATCAAAAAAACAGATATATAGAAATATTTTATGTATGATTTAATTAATACATGAAGAATTATCTATGTCTCGACTAAATATTAATTGTTTGATTATTTCAAAAAAGACGACATTCCAGAGGAAATAACCTTTTTTGCCTTTACCTCCTTTACCCCCTTTAAAATACATTTTAGAACTATATGCATAATAATTTTTAATGCTTTTAACATTGCTTTAATGTCTAACATTGTGTTAAAATGGTTAAAACTTTAGGGGGAGTCCGCCCCATGCTTGACACGGGAACTCATGACAGCTTAAAAGTCGTCTTTAAATGTTGTATAAAGTTGAAATAATTGAACCTCTTTAAATTGATCGTTAAAAGTCTTGAAAATAATTGTTTGTAAAGTTGAAATCTTTGATAATTTAGATTTTATTGCAAAAGTTTTAAGTTTTAACTCGGTCTTTTTTGCTTGCACCGGCTCATACAGGGTGTTCCAAAAAACATAGGAATTAAATGACGACTTCTACATTGTCCTTGTTCCTTGCAGGATTATTTCTTAAATATAATTTTGTAGTATCACGATTAACACCAAAAACTACTAGTCTCGGATTTTCCAAAATGTGGTCTACCATTTTTTTACCTTCAAAATTGACGGCGATATTAGGAAATTTGTCCAGTTTATTAAAACTCAAAAAAACTGTTCAAATGTTAAATATGTAGACTTTCACTCTTTTTTGGACACCCTGTACAATGTTTGGACTGTTTTTTTCAGAATCAGTTTGAAAATGGATGTTGACAAACAGCTGTTTGAAGTTTTTGCTTTCCATGGCGCACTCCTGCTAGTCAAAACCTGTATCATGTCATTCCTAACTGCCAGGTATACCAGTATACATTCCTAATTGTCAGATATATCAGTATACATTCCAAACTGCCAGGTATACCAGTATACATTCCTTACTGTCAGGTATACCAGTATACATTCCTAACTGTCAGGTATACCAGTATACATTCCTAACTGCCAGATATACCAGTATACATTCCTAACATTAATTTCTAAACAACATAGTTTGGAGAATAGCTCTAATATGAATCTTATTTTTAATCTTCAAATATCAAGAAAATCCGCAAAATATCATCAAAATATCAATATCTCCTCAGTGTATATAACACAAAGCTAGAGGAACATATTAAATATCTGCAAGAATTTCAATTTACTCTGATGCATATTTTAAAAGATATAATGAATAACAATAAATTTAACTGTCTAATATTGAAAATCGACAATATTGTCTACTACAGTTACAGTGAATCCCAGATATATGAATACATAGCAAGAGTTTTGTATAACGTATAATTCTAAAGAAACCTCTTTTTATTTTTAATTCAAGGTAAACTAACAGCCCTGAAATATGAATGCAATTAATATATTAATATTAAATATTCCGTGGTATTTTATCTTAAATATGGAATACGACATTATAAAAATTCTTGCTGTGTATTCATATATCTGGGATTCACTGTATGTTGCAAAGTTTGCAGTGTTCCCCAGAAAACTTAAAAGCGATTGTCGACTTTGTCTTACATATCAATTACGAAGTTTGCAGGTGCTAAGATGATCAAAACAAATTTTTAGAAAATAATCAGTAACAATTGTAACTTACAAATTACAAAATTTTAGCAATATTTCATCATGAAAAGAAATAACGAAACCAATAGGAAAAAATGTTAAAATATCAATACATAATTAAATGTTGAAAAACAACAAACCATACATTTTGTCATTTAGGCAACGTTTTGCAAAAAACATTTTCATCTCCAGGGAGGATAGACTCAACAAGAAAACTAAGGCAAGTAATTATCATTGTTTTTATTTCTAAGTTTAATCACTATGAGAACTAGATGGGAATTTTTTCTTTAATGACTGAAATATTTCAAAATAAACAAATATTTCGTTAATGATTGTGGCGCGTTCAGAAAAACTAACAAATCATGGGACGAACGAAATGGATCAGAAAGTTGAAAACGTTCATGTTTTCAAAACGAATGAAAAAAACAGAAACGAACGATTTTAAATCGTTAATGATCGCTTGTAGTTTGGTTCAGATAGACTGTGGACGAACAATTTGTAAATCGTTCACGAACTTGACCGTTAACAAATGGTTTTAAAAATGTTTGTAACATTTGAATTGAAAACCCAGCCTAAACTGTCCTAAGCCGGCTAACCTAACATTTATTTGACGAAGAATTTTTACGGACGAACTATTTTGCTTAACAACCTATTTTACTGTACAAACAATTTTTCTCAAGAAACGTTTAGTTATAAAGCGAGAAAAAAAAATCAGCTAACAAACGAATTCAAACGACAAAAAATCTAACGAAATGGGTCTTTTACAAACGTATACAAAAAAAGTCGAAGGCGCCCATCTCTGTACATACATACAACATATCCCACTGAACATGAGAGAATGTCGTGTTGTATTCTTGAAATATATTGCAGCATTTATGATTCCAATTTTTTAGGTTTGATTTAATGATTATCCAATTCACTAATCATTTAAACGCTAAAAGATTGTTTCCTAATAATAGTTTTCTTTTTAAATATCTGAATTTAAAAAAATTAAATTTGTTTAGATTGGAACAGGGTTAAACGACGACATTGAGAGAGTTCGACGTGCACATCAGAATGATATAGGAACATTTCTCTTAATCAATATTCTAGAAATATTTCAAATAATTGTTAATTTTGACTTAAAATTTACTTCAATGATGTACATAGTTGATTTCTAATATTTGGAATAAAAAATTGATTGATCAGAAAATTGATTATTTGATGGATGTTGTAGAGAATATATTTCCCTTTTTTACTTTGGGATTTCTGTATTTGTTCACCAACCCTGCTCTATCTACAGCTACAACAGTTTTCAGGTCCTCTTTACTACTTTCAAGAAGGTTTTCCAATTGCGCGCGAATGTTCTCGTATTGCGCGGAATTTACGCGCGGAAATTACAGAGGGTGCAATTGCGCGCAAGAAAAATCAGCTTGTATTTGAAACCCTACTTTCAAATGAGCTTTAACAGATAATACTTTTAAAATAATTACATCAGTAGTTTTTCTAATTTTCTAACAAATAGATCTAGCTAACTATCCTATGTTTGTGCGTAAACAGATCTAGCTAACTATCCTATGTTTGTGCGTAAATAGATCTAGCTAACTATCATATGTTTGTGCGTAAATAGATCTAGCTAACTATCCTATGTTTGTGCGTAAATAGATATAGCTAACTATCCTATGTTTGTGCGTAAATAGATCTAGCTAACTATCCTATGTTTGTGCGTAAATAGATCTAGCTAACTGTTCTATGTTTGTGCGTAAATAGATCTAGCTAACTATCCTATGTTTGTGCGTAACATGTGCCATAAATGTTCACAAATGTATGGGTTAAGGATCATGCAACACTTAGATTGGTGTGTTATATTTCTGTTAAGTTTGCATTAGATATATTAATTCATTAACCATTAGTTTGTTTATTATAACTTTTGTGTACTGAATTTTACTAGACGAACACAAAAGTCCTAATACCACATGGTATAACAACACAAACAACCAAACACTAAAAACCTAAAACCACATGGTATTTTATGTTTGTTCAGTAAACGTTTGTGTTTGTTCAGTAAAATTAATGAAAGCGTTTTGAACCTTAATTAAGAACGAATATTGTTGTTCAGGTTGGGTATATAAATTAATGAAATTTTCGTTTATCTTTATTTGTAAATACCGAAATATTTTAATTAAAAAATTTGTCTCTTATCTCATAATTAATTAGGAAGACATAGTAAAAGATACGGCTGATTTAATTTCAAATTTTAGCAAACACTACATTTTTTGTTTTGTTTTAAATATTCAAGACAGAAACAATCTCAAGAACTTACGAGGGTCAACCCAGACCGAAATATATTTTCAACAAACTGTGGAACAAACTACTTTATTAACTCTATGAGGTTTGGTCCATCAACGACACCAAATTTTAAATACAATGGGATTGGAATGAACATTTTATGAAAAATTCAAATTTAATAGTCCGACTTTTCTATTGAATGTTTCTTTGGAAACATAATGGATAATTTTTTCTTATTTATTTAAACTCAAACTTACAGTTTTAAATTGCTGAATTACTACATATTAAAAAATCGAATTAGTTAAATCAAGAACATCTCATTTTAAAACCATCTTTTACTGGGTTTAATTCCAATTATTCAGGAAAATGGAAATGTATGGAGACATTTTTAAATCCTAAAACTTCGGGTTTCGCTATGAGGCAATTTCTTCACAATGTCTTAACATAACGGTTTTAGAATTGGATTTTACACAGAAAAAAAATTATATTTGGATTTTCACTGCAACCCACAAATCTGATTATTCCAGCGCGGGAAGTTCAACTAAGTTTAAGTATTCATTATTTTCGACCTCCGGCCAGTCTAAAACGATATAATACTATTTTTTCATGGCGCTTCGCGGGTCATCTTCTATTTCAACTGTGAACATTTTCTCATTGTATACATTATAAGACAAAAACAACAAAAGTTCACGGATTTAAAAATATTTGTTCGTGGATTTTCAAAATTTTACGAAAATCAAAAAAATGTTGAGTTAATTTTTTATAATTCTGAGCATCTATAAACTCTGGGATCGTGCGGAGTCCAACAAAAAATTTGGCACGAACGGTTAAACTGTTTTGACGTTTATTGGATACAAACGTACATACAGACACCCTAACAGACAGGCAACGTATACATTGATAAACTCTGTACTGACAATGACTATAACCTTTATTAACCATTATAAAATAATAAATAAACCGAGAGAGTGGTATTTTTTTAACAATAGGACAAAAATTAAAAGTAAAAAAATTAGAGGAAATGAAAACCATATTTACAACATTTTTTTTAGGATTTTTTCCGGTGCCAGAATTGCACACAGCATAGGTAATAGTCTTAACTATTTTAACACTACCAAAACAAAACTTAAATGTTAAAATTGAGTTAAATATAATTCTATTTTATTAAAATTTCTTATTTCCTCATGCTTTGTAATGTTTCGTACATACCTGCTGATGGTGATCTTCTCCAAATAACAACTGTTATTGGTAAAAATACCAAACTTTTAATAATTCTTTTTTAACTGTTTCAGTTTATCTTTTGGAAGTCCCACAGCCGGCTAGAGTTATAGCTTTTATGATTGGTGAATAAATTTCTTGTTTCTTAAAGGGAGTATTTGTGAAAAATGAAAGGGGGTATAGGCTTACGTCGAAAAGTATTCGATGGTGATTGCTAATAATCTTACTTCTATCTGTTGTCTATACCGAAAAGTCAAAAATATTATGAAATATCAATTATTCACGAATCCCACAGCATTTCAGTCTTTCGGCAGTTGTTACATTTTTAAATAATAAATTTAAGGCATTACGCGAAAGAAATTTTAGAAGCTTATTATAGATCAAAGAATTTTATGTTCGGTGTATAAACTGCTTTACATTAGAAAATTTTACATATTTCACGCATTGTGGCACCGCGACAAATTATTTGGGGTAGTCAAAAGAACAATAAAAATTAGAAAAATCACAGTTTCAACTGTCTTTATCTCAAAATTACAGATTTCCTAAAAAAACTCTATTTTGCAATTTTCTCGTTAAATAGTGCAAATTTTCGGTAATGAGCGCCCTTTTAACATTAAGAGTATTTTAAGGTGCATAATTTTTATTGTTCATAATGTTTAAAAAAAAAACCCTTTTTTGGGAAAATAAGTTTAGTAGTTTACATTAAAAGGAATCGTCATTATTTAAATTTAAAACTTAAATGTACAGTTATTTATATACAGTTAAACCCTAAATGAGCCATACAGAATTTATCAAATGTCGTCTAGACAATTTTTCAATGGGTTTTTTACTATTTTACGGAAATCTCGGTATTTGCGAAAATAAATAAATAGCCATGAATATGCGGGAACAGTTTTTAAAGAGTTCCATATAATCATTTAATTAAAAAACTAAATATCTGCAACATTCCATTATCAGAAAATGAAGAATACTACATAAGAGGAATTCTTTCGATGTATGGGTAATTTAGGGTTTAACTGTATATATCTTTAGCATGACATTGTAGGAATTTTGCAAATCACGACTTCAATGCACTAAATTCATTATTTAAGAACATAATAACTGCCGGAAGGCTCAAATGCTGTGACATGGAAGATCGTATGGTTGTGGCTAATGGCTGCCGGCAGACCAAAAAACTTATATGTAGTATGGAGGGGAAAAATGTTGTGGCTTATAGGTCGCCTTGCCTTCCCCCGACCATCTAACTTTCAATTGCCACGGCCAAGTCAGCTGTTCACAAACTGGTTCTATTCCATTTGAACATTAGTGAATTTGAACAAAATGTTGGTATTGATTAAATTTTCTAATTATTTCAGGAAACCTAGCCAACGTTTTCCTTGGATTTCAAGTTCTAACTTTCTTTAAAAATTCTATGTAATATGAAAAATAAAAATATAAATGTACAGAATTTGTTAAATAACTAATTGAATAAGTTGAAATCCTTATTAAAAGCAGTGCCAGTGCTATAAAATACATTATATTTTTATTTGTTTAGATATTTGACAAAAAGATTTATAAAAGAAAAATATAATTTTCAACTCTTTTTGTTAAAAAATATTTCTGAAGTTTTTAACGATACAATCAAGTATTACTGTTTTGCCAATATGAATGAAGGAAAAAAATTAAACAAAATAAGTAAACCAAACTAAGTAAATTCACGTAGTTCCCCAATCAAAATTTGAGGCAAATAGGTCAAGAGGTTCGAGAATTGTGATCGGATATACAAACAAACAAAGATAACTACTTTGTAGATAGTTACGAAAGACATAAAATAATGTGTATGTTTTGTAGGTTTTCATGAAAATCTCATCCTTTTAGATCTTGGCTGAATTTTTACAAAATCAAAAATTGAAGACGACTGATGAAGGCGACTTTTAAAAATTTGACATGTTTCAAATTGTATTTAATATATGGGTTCCAATTTCCTCCAGATCTTACCAAATACCAAACCTTCCATGAAGCTATCAAGAATGATGAACCATTAAATATTTTTTGAAACTAAGTGCAAAACCTTTCTTATTCCAATTAATAATAAATATACCCTCTTGATGCTACACATCAGAGCTACAGTCTACAGAGCGTACCCAGTACTTAGAAAAACTAGCATTTTCTGCAAAAAAAAATGCTATTAGCCTGATTCAATTTTTCAAAATGATTCATTCTTCATTAGTTTTCTGATTTGTCTCCCAAATCGTAATTTAGACCCATTGACGCGGTCTAATTTGATGTGGGACACCATGTAGATGTGACTTGTAAAAAAAAGTTTACGGGACGATTATTCCTGATCAATTTCTCTCGAATAATCGTCCCGTAAACTTTTTTGCGTGTTCTCATTGTCTCACTAGTTTTGGGTAGGGCTGGGCAAAGTTCCGTTAACGAAGGGCAACACCTGTTAATTTTAAATCATTAACAAGCGGATTAGACGTTTTTGAAAAAAAACTAACGATTGAAAACGAAAACGGAACGGTTTTTTTCCTGCTTAAAATTGCAATAAACTTGTAAAGAAAAACAATATTTTATACGTGTTTTGATGTTTTAAACGATTTCACAACCATATGCTGAGATTAATAGATCTCGATAAACTTTGAAATTTGATACAACAAACTGGAGTTTGTCCAGCCGTGAAAGAAATTTGGTTCACTGAAGGCAAAGTACGGAACCTTTGCTGAATCTGTAAGGAATGATACATTATAAAAAAAACTTTGATAAATAAAGGGCGGAATCTTTATTAACCAATTTTGAAATAAATCTACCCCCTATTAATGCTGCCTAAAGCTAGCGCTGGGCACGCTCCAATCTTTTCGTGTCATTTCGTTAACTGTTATTATAGTTCTAACCGTTAAGAAAGAAAAATTTCAGGCATAGCCATTAATTGTAAAAGTTTTTTTTCAATTTAACGTTAGAAAAAAAGTTGTTAACGGTTATGAAAACGTTAACTTTGCAGCCGTTAACGGTTTTTTGTAGTTTTAACGGTTTGTCAAATCTTTAACGGCACTAGCAGTTGGACTACATTTTTCCTTTTCTGCGGACTGAGTAGTATCTAGGTATCCAAATCATGACTATATTTACTCTTTTCCGATGAGAACCCAAATGATGCGGGGAAAAATGGAAAGCCCTGATTGGACTATTAATATCATTAAATGATATTTGGGTCTTAACAAAAAGTGGTATTCCTAAATGTGAACAGTTTTAACCGTATAGCTATTGGAGGGGAGGGGGGGGTCCCAGGTCCCTCCCCCCAGAGCTCAAAACTTAAGACCGAGTATTGTAATGAAATCGTTTTTCAGATAACAATATTATTGGACAGAAATATTTTGTATGTGGTTTTTTTTCATTTTTGTTTGTTTTATTTTCTTAAATCAAAATCTACGCAAATGCAAAGACCCAAAAAGTAAACTTTGATGTTTCGTTCAACGATACTCTCTTAAATTTCCGGCTTTGGGGTTCTGGGGTAAAATTTAAAAACAGACCGGGTTCGTAAATTTAAAATTGGGAAACATTTTTCTTTACGCTTCGCGTCATATATTTCATATATTTTTGAACATTTCCCTTCTGGCTGAAATGCTGATTTTAAGGAGAAACTATAGGAATTCTGAGTATATTTAATAATGTTCAAATAGTTCATTTTTATGAAAAGTAAATATTTTTAAGGGTTTAAAACGAAAATCAATTATTTGTCTCGTAGTTATACATTTTTTCACAAACATCAAGGTTTATTCAACAGTGCCTTTCTTACTTCGTACGCATGCCTCCTTCCCTTCCACTTAGTACGCACACAACCCCCCCCCCCCAAACACCGACATAATATCCCCAAACATCTTCCAATAAAGCGTCAGTTAATCTTAAGATTACCGTTACGCAAATCAGGAAGGTAAATTCTGTAGGCACTCAGGGTTGCGTAATATGTTTTCAGAAGGGAAAGGGGGGGGACAGAAAATAAAACAATCAATATATCATTTTCGACATTAATTCGAATTCTTATTTCTTACATATTTTGTTCTTTTTGATTATAAAATGTTATTTAAAATATGCTAAATCAAATTTGAAATTTTATGCAAACCATTGAAATATTCAAGACATAACTAAGTCACTATAACCAATCCCCCCAAACATGCCAAAAACAATTTAAAGAACTATTATTTTGATTTAAACATGCCAAAAACAATTTAAAGAACTATTATTTTGATTTAAACATGCCAAAAAACAATTTAAAGAACTATTATTTTGATTTAAACATGCCAAAAAAAACAATTTTAAGAACTATTGTTTTGATTTAAATGGCAAAATAATTTTTTATTTTATTGTAATACAATGAGAACAAGAAAACTGTGGTATAGTCTGATTACATAAAATGCCATTTTTAATGTTTTTATATAGTGATCAGGATATTCCACATTTTCTGGTTTTCACTGTATAGCATTTAGTAATAAACAGTTATAACAGTCACAACATGTGAACTTTTTCAAATTTGCTTGTTTAAAGTCAGCTAAATACAGTGGCACATTGACGGTATTATGAAGTGACAAGTGGCAAAATATGAAGTGATAAAGTGGCAATATTAAAGTAAAAAAAAATATTTTCAATTTTTTTAGTCTATAACTCATCCCTGGCCATCTATGAGTACAAACAAAAATTTCAGCCCAATCGGTCCAGCCGTTTGGCAGGCTATACACAACATATATATGAATGTCTTGTTTTATTATATAGATAACATTAGTAACACACAACACTACTTAAATGTCGTCTTTCTATTCCAGTTTTATGTAATATTACATTTATGTGTATTTTCGTAATTTTGAAAAATGCAGAACAAATGATAATATGATATAAATTACATTTTATATAATTGTATTTGTTGCATTGTATTGTTAGCTAGCTGACTATCAAAGCTTTATAACTTTAAATTCCTTTGAGCAACACTTTTAGAAACGTCTAGTTCATCTTATAAACTAAAAATTTTAACATTTTTTCATTATTTTTAATAATACTTTTAGTGCCTTAATAAAGGAACCCTTCTTTTGTAGAGTGTTTTACAATGCTAGGGCTTTGTTTGTTAAAGAACGGATTAAATATCAGTTTTTTCTCTTTTAATAATGATTAATTCAAATTGTGGTTTTTCAATAACACTAATTTTCTAAGTTGTTCTACAGAAAAGATAATTAAAGAAATGTCAGAATTAAACACTTTTCAAGCTAATAAAATTACAATATATTCTAAAAGTAATGTTCAAAAAAGGTTTCAAAGTTACCGCCATTGTAATGAAAAACAAGCGTAGATAACAGAGAGGTGTACTCAAGACTCAAGAATTCTACTGATTCAATAATTTGTATTGATTAAGGGTGGATGAAGATGAGGAGGGGGGTGATACACATCCAACTGTGACGTGTAGGGATAGCTATAGAACTGGTTTTATAATAAACAAACAACAGTTGTAAACAGTAATTGGCCTAAACAATGTTTTATGTGCGTACTGCATGATCTGCAGTACAGTCACCAAAAAAGATATTGTTGATCAGCTCACTGTATAATTAGCCTAGAAGGGACTAATTCATTTGGTTCAGCTGCCTCGTTTGCCTTTTAAAGTCTGTATGTGTACAGTACAGCTTGCTCTAAAATTTATGGTGTTAAATCAGCCAGGTACTTGGATCCAGAGCTTTCAATGAGCTCACAGTAACTCTGCTTAGAAACCTTTGTTTACAATTTTTGTTGTTGGTATTAATAATGACTAGTTCATGCGCGAGCGCTGTCACAATTGTCACAATGTAATGGTTAGTGTTACCCTCCTTCTCACTTTATTTGCCTTTGGTCAATCAAAGCTTCAGGTGCCTTCGTTCTCCATGACCCAGTCACGATCTGTAAAATTCAGAGATTCCCTCCGATGAAAACACATGAAACAGCAGAAATGTTGGAATTTTGTCCATTACATCCTGCAGAATTTCTGGCATACTGATGTTGAACATATAAAGTCCAGAACTATTCATCCAATATCTTCACCATTGGCACATGAAGTAGGTTAAAATGTTTCCTGGGATGGCAGTGACGAGAGAAAAGCGAAGTAATGAAGTCTCTATACTGCACTCTTAAAGTGACAAGTGTAAACAAGAGTAAGAAAATATCTATCAAGAACCATAAGGACAGAAAAAACTTGAAAACGATGAAACCCTATCCAAGAGAATTATTAAAGTTATCTACAGGAATTATATAAACCTTTCAGTTTTTAAAGTAAAAGCACCCATTCTACGTTTCAATAATCATAGTTAATGACTGAAAGTCTTTCCAGTAAACTTTTTATGTAATCAAAGATATGGGGGTTCCAGGTAAATCCCTTGATGTATACTATACAAATAGCTATCACTGGTTTACATAAACTTACATATCGTAACACCAGTCAGATGAGTGTGCGCATTCTCGCCAGCTGCAGTGCTATGCAGAGTAGCGCCAGACTATTTCGGATCTGAATTGAGAAAGTCAATTTCACTGATTAAATGCATACACTCTCATCTGACTGGTGCTATGATGAGTAAGTATATTCAAAACAATGTAGTTGCCGGAGAACGGCATTGTACTTGAATTCCTGAATGTCTAGGTATTGTTGGTTGTAGCTAGTGTATCAGTTCTAGTAACTGCTCGTCCTACCGAGGAGAATTCAGCTGGAGAACCTGGACTCCCGACACTGGTCTTGGAGGATACTCCGCTCCAGCTTACTCAGAATAGAGAAGGAGAGCTTGATGTCGGACAGAATGGAGAAGTGAATCTCCAGCTGGCTGACCTTGTGGATCCTACTGAATCCACTCCTCCACCCAGGTTTACACATTTTAAACAAATTTGGAACCTGTTGTCCACCCCAGTCATTCCATGATTCAAACAAGCATATACTCATACTGGCCAGTCTAGTGTAGTCATACTCTAGTCATTCTGCATTTGCAATTTCTGGTAATGTCCGGTCTATTGTAATTATACTATTTATGAATATCCTGGTACCGTTTGATCTAGTGCACAGTCGAACCAATTATGCATTTCTGGTCGGCTGTTCAAGTGTAATCAGACCGTATGGTGTAAATGCATTTATTGGTACCAATTTGGTCCAGTAATTGATTCATATAAACACTACATTTCATCCAGAACTTTGAGCATACAAATTATATGATGGCTGGGTTGGTTCTCATGTATAAAAGAACTGATAATTCGCCTTAAACCCTAAATCTTTAAACCTTATGTCTTTGAAACCTGCAAGACAAAAAAAAGGTTTGATTTTTGATAACCCAGTTTTTGTTCTAAAATCATCAACTGTGTGTTATAAAGTTTTATCGGGATTGCAAATTCCAGTTTCTTCCATTTAAAGAAATGAATATTTTAACAGTTTGAAAAGCTTAAATATAAATATTGCAGCTCTATATCATTCTAAAATATAAATATTTAAAAAGAAAGTTTACAACATATGTTCAAGAGCCTTTTTTAAGAGTGCTATTTATTGAATCATTTGTTATTATCGACGCAATTTCAAGTAAATCTGCATTCATAAAGTTACCCTTTATACCTCCATCTCCATCAAAAATATGGAAGATATCCTTGTTTTTCTAGCTGTTTAATTCTGTCAATATCCTCCAATGTTTATGCAGTAGAATTCTCCATGCCACTTTGTAAACAAACCACAATTAAAAATAATAAACTAAAGAGAGAAACATAAAAATTTCTATCATTATCGATCAGACAAAGTATTACAGGGTACCATTGTGAATCGGACATGTTACTCTATTAAAGAAGAGTCTCTGAAAATGATCCACTTTCCCTTTAAATAAAGGATTTTATAAATTATCATTTATATTATATAATATATATACCTTAACATATATTTTATAGTGTTGTGGTGCCTCGCCGCAGATTCTCTGGATACGGAAGGAAGAAACGAGAGAGTACTGATGATGACACTGCTGAAACTGATGAAGAAGAACTTCTTGTAAATCCTGATCAGACTGATGACCAACCTCCCCGCAGAGATTTTGGAGATCTTACAAGACTTCTAAACATTGCTGGAGCCAAGCCTCAGGTTTAAAATCATAATAATATTGATGGATTCGGAGTGATTCTTCATGCCTGATTGTCAACAGTTACCTTTAGGCCTTTGTCAGAACAAAAATAATCTTTAATATTTTAACATGAAAATTACAGATTAAGGCAAAAGACAATATTGAAAATTTACAAAATATAAAACATTTCATTCATTCTATAGAAGATAGAGGTTTAGATAGAGATACAGTTGAGTTGGGCATGTATATATTTTTAAATAAAATAACACAATTTCAGCTGAAAACTTGGCCAGGAAAAATCATTAAAAAAGCCCAAAAATGTTTATTTTTTATCTTGTTTCGATTAAGACTGTTTAGATTGTAGATCCGAGTGGTGGATATTCCGGCAGAAGACGAAGATCTTCAATTGATGATCATGAAGAAGAAGTAGTTGAAGTGGTTGATCCGGCAGCAGAAGATCAAGCTGAACCTCCCCGCAGAGATTTTGGTGATCTCGCCAGATTATTAAATATTGCTGGAGCAAAGCCTCAGGTAATCCTGCTTTTTTCTAAAGTAAACGCCAATAAAAAATGTAATAATATTTTTTAAATCAATTGTAAATGCCAAAGAATTTTTAACAAAGAGAATGGAATTTAATGAATTAAATAGAGGTCGCTGGACTACTAACTCCTGGTTCAGCTTTCTCTCTAGTACTCACTGGTTCAAATCTTGAATCAAAGTTTAATTTAAAGATGCATGGTTGAACCCTCTCTACATAGTTTAACGACTTCTCACAATTTATTAATTCCCTGTTTCATTTATTAATAAATATGTCAGTTTTAAAGATCCTGAAAAAGAACATCCCTAGCTACTTTTCTAATGTTAAGAAAGTGAAGACGACGAATATTTTTTTTAACATTTGCAGCATTAATAAATTATTTGAGTCAGACTACACAATTATAAGGATTAATAGCATTCAGGGTTACCCACAAAGGATGAGACTTCATAAACGAATTTTTAATGTCGTATTCCTTTATGCTTATTAATTCCCAGCAACTTTATACATTTTTGTTTTGGCCCAATCATTATATTTAAAGACTTTATTTTAGGCAGAAGGTCTAATTCAACCTTGCTTTTCATATTTAAAACTTTACGATCTTGTCTTTACATATTCTCATCCTTTGTGGACAACCCTGTTCTTATTAAATCCAAGCTTTTCTAGGCTGTTGATTTAAGCGGCAGCTATAGTGGCCGCCGACGAAGATCTGATAATAACCTCTACGGTCTTGTTCCTGAGGTTGACCTCGACGCTGTTAAGATAAAGCCTCATGGAAAGAATGGCCAACAAGTTCAGAACTCGGCTAGCGGGATTCCAGTTGGCAGAGCCATCTTTGAACCAAGCTTTTCCCGCGTAAAACGAGATGACTTCATTCCCTTCAACGAATATGACCAGCGAAGAGTAAAAACTTTGAAGATTGAACAAAATGATTTCCTCGCACTGCCTAAACGCTTAGAACAAGAAGAAGAGCAGACTGATAGGCAAAAGCGTAAATTTCAAGTAGAAGAATAGTTCAAAAAGAAACGAAAACCTTAAGCGGTGATTAATGTTGTATCAAAGCGCGAACGGATAATTTTGCTGCGCGGTATTACAAAGAAAACCCCAGTCCTACCCATTAAAGTTGACTAGACAAGAATTCAGTGTTTGCATTAACTGCAAGACAGGAAGAAAATACATTCAGTACCTGTATACCTTTTGCTAGATTATTATATTTAAATTATGGAAATAAAAATTTTAAAATCAATTTTTCTTTGGATTTAAAATAAAATAACCAAGATGACATACAGGGTCAATAAACTTGGGAATTCAGTGACGAATTCGATATCGTCTTTTCAAATAATTCTTTGATTTAGTATAGTGATACATACTGAGAAAGCTGTAATCTGTTAGAGTTCGTCTGCTATGTTCACATTTTGTTTGTTTAAGTTTTGACTGCATACGGTTGTACAAGAAAATTGCAGTATACAAACAGAGTAATCTTGTCCGTCTTCACTGTTCATCTTGCGGAGACATTATAGACACATCTTTGCAGTCTTTTACCCTTTTCATAAAATAAACTCTAGCAGACATAATAATATTATGGTTTTAGAAATTAGGTATACAATGCTAATTCATAACAAAGACGATATCGAATTTGTCACTGAATTCCCAATATTTTTGGGACACCCTGTACACTAACTAAAAGTTATTGGTACCTTTGTGAATCTGACCTGCTTTGTTTCTAAATAAAAGAGTTTAACTTGAAATTATGTCTCCAGTTCCTTTAAGGACCACCAAAACAAGGACAGGGAACGTTCTGATTTTTTTCAAGCTGCTCCTTTAAGGGTTAGTTAACACAATTATTTAGCATTCATTTTAGTAAAAAATTTCATTTCGCCATTCATTTTTTAGCTGAAAACGGAACGTTAATTTCGTAAACAGTATTTTACGTTAATTATTAAAGCCACCGTTTGTTTTTGTTAATGATCTCTCAAAGGCGTTAACGGCAGATATTTTAAAATTATTAACGGTGCCGGCCGTTATCAAGCCGTTCACAATAAATTAATGTAAAAATAGCTGAACAAATTTTGAAACAACATTCAAACATGTAAAATAAAACATCAATATGCAAACAATTCTATAAGTCAACAATTAAACGAGGTAAACAGAAGACGACATTTAAAAACATAAAAAGGACATAAAATATTTTCTTTCATTTTTTGCAAGTTTCATGAAAAGTTGGACAGAAAAAAGAACAAAGGTTGTCGTTAGTTTAATAATCATCTGTTTTTGTTTTCAGTCGTAAATATTTTGAGAATAGGGATATTTCTGTTAGTTAACGATTTAAAAATTAATGTTTTGTGTCGTTTGTTAACGGACTCTTCCGTTAATTCTAAAAACTTCCGTTTCGTTAACGGAACTTTACCTGGCCCTAACCACAGCTAGTAGGTGAATTCAATTCTTCAAAAATGTCATGTCATATTTTAACAATTTGATTTTAATTTTGATTTATTATATTAATGAAATCTTTCCCTTTCTCTTTCTTGTGCATTTCAGTTAAAAATTAGAAGCCTAAAAGATTTAGTTTACAAGATTTTGATTATTTTTTGGTGTCGTTATAAGCATATTCTTGTGTTTATACAATTTTAGAAAAGTTTTGGAAATTTGAAAAGTCATTCTTTTTATTATAGCCTCGAGGTAAATATTTCAATTTTTGCCTTCACGAATTAGAATTTAGAACAAATTGGGAAAGTTTATATTTTAAAATTTAAAACTTTTATCATTTGACAAGATAATTTATCATTTCATAAATATCTGGCTCGTTACATGGCTAGATAGATAAACTCACTAACTAGACTAGCTAACCACTCTAGACTAACTAGACTAGTTAACCACTCTAGACTAACTAGACTAGCTAACCACTCTAGACTAACTAGACTAGCTAACCACTCTAGACTAACTAGACTAGCTAACCACTCTAGACTAACTAGACTAGCCAACCACTCTAGACTAACTAGACTAGCTAACCATTCTAGACTAACTAAACTATATAACCGCTCTAGACTAACTAGACTAGCCAACCACTCTAGACTAACTAAACTAGCTAACACCTCTAGACTAATTAGACTAGCTAACCACTCTAGACTAACAAGACTAGCTAACCAATCTAGACTAACTAAACTAGCTAACCACTCTAGACTTACTAAACTAGCTAACAACTTTAGACTAACTAGACTTGCTAACCGCTCTAGACTAACTAAACTAGCTAACCACTCTAGACTAACTAGACTAGCTAACCACTCTAGAATAACTAGACTAGCTAACCAATCTAGACTAACTAGACTAGCTAACCACTTCTGACTAACTAGACTTGCTAACCGCTCTAGACTAACTAGACCAGCTAACCACTCTAGACTAACCAGACTAGCTAACCACTTTAGACTAACTAGATCATATAACCGCTCTTGACTAACTGGACTAGCTAGCTACTGTAGACTAACTAGACTAGCTAACCGCTCTAGACTAACTAGACTAGCTAACCACTCTAGACTAACTAGACTAGCTAACCTCTCTAGAATAACTAGACTAGCTAACCAATCTAGACTAACTAGACTAGCTAACCGCTCTAGACTAACTAGACTAGCTAACCACTCTAGACTAACTAACCGCTCTAGACTAACTGGACTAGCTAGCCACTGTAGACTAACTAGACTAGCTAACCGCTCTAGACTAACTAGACTAGCTAACCACTCTAGACTAACTAGACTAACTAACCACTCTAGACTAACTAGACTATATAACCGCTCTAGACTAAATGGACTAGCTAGCCACTGTAGACTAACTAGACTAGCTAACCGCTCTAGACTAACTAGACTAGCTAACCACTCTAGACTAATTAGACTAACTAGACTAGCTAACCACTCTAGACTAACAAGACTTACTAACCACTCTAGACTATCTAGATTAGCTAACCAGTGCACTTTAGACTAACTAGACTATTTAGCCATGTGCACTCTAGACTAATTAGATTTACTAACCACTCTAGACTAACTAGACTTACTAACCACTCTAGACTATCTAGATTAGCTAACCAGTGCACTTTAGACTAACTAGACTATCTAGTCATGTGCACTCTAGACTAATTAGACTTACTAACCACTGTAGACTATGTAAACTAGCTAACCAGTGCACTCTAGACTAACTAGACTATCTAACCATGTGCACTCTAGACTAACTAGACTTACTAACCACTTTAGACTAACTAGACTAACTAGACTAGATAACCACTCTAGACTAACTAGACTTACTAACCACTCTAGACTATCTAGATTAGCTAACCAGTGCACTCTAGATTAACTAGATTATCAAACCATGTGCACTCTAGACTTACTAGACTTACTAACCACTCTAGACTATCTAGAATAACTAACCAGAGCACTTTAGACTAACTAGACTATCTAACCATTTGCACTCTAGACTTACTAGACTTACTAACCACATAAGACTAACTAGACTAGCTAACCAGTGCACTCTAGACCATGTGCACTCTAGACTAAAAACAGACCTTGGTTGATTTTAGTGGAGAATAAGGCTCCATGTTGAGTCTTGTTCTCATAAAAACCAGGAATGCGCCAATTCCAACCATGAAAATCCGCCAAATAGAATATTAAACCGGTTTTCTGAACTCAACTCTGTGGAAAATAAGATGCAGCTTGTTTCCAAAAGCTCCAGCCGTAAATAAGGCCCATCGACAGCTTAGACCCGAGCCGTATTTTCCCGATTTTTTATTAAATCGCGAGCTCAGTGCACTCTAGACTAACTAGACTATCTAGCTAACCATGTGCACTCTGGACTAACTAAAATATAGTTTACAATTCTAGACTATATTTATACTGTAAAGTCCACTACTACTACTCTAAACTTTGCCTGGGCTAGCTATAGACTACTCTAGACTCTGCCTGGGCTAGCTATAGACTACTCTAGACTCTGCCTGGGCTAGCTATAGACTACTCAAGACTCTGCCTGGGCTAGCTATAGACTACTCTATAGACTTTGCCTGGACTAGCTATAGACTATTCTAGACTTTGCCTGGGCTAGCTATAGACTACTCTAGACTTTGCCTGGACTAGCTATAGACTACTCTATAGACTTTGCCTGAACTAGCTATAGACTACTCTAAACTTTGCCTGGACTAGCTATAGACTACTCTAGACTTTGCCTGGACTAGCTAAAGACTACTCTAGACTCTGCCTGGACTAGCTATAGACTACTCTAGACTTTTGCTGGACTAGCTATAGACTACTCTATACTTTGCCTGGACTAGATATAGACTACTCTAGACTTTGCCTGGACTAGCTATAGATTACTCTAGACTTTGCCTGGACTAGCTATAGACTACTCTAGACTCTGCCTGGGCTATCTATAGACTACTCTAGACTCTGCCTGGGCTAACTATAGACTGCTCTATAGACTTTGCCTGGGCTAGCTATAGACTACTCTAGACTTTGCCTGGACTAGCTATAGACTACTCTAGACTTTTGCTGGACTAGCTATAGACTACTCTATACTTTGCCTGGACTAGATATAGACTACTCTAGACTTTGCCTGGACTAGCTATAGACTACTCTAGACTTTTCCTGGACTATCTATAGACTACTCTAGATTTTGCCTGGGCTAGCTATAGACTACTCTAGACTTTTCCTGGACTAGCCATAGACTACTCTAGACTTTGCCTGGACTAGCTATAGACTACTCTAGACTTTTCCTGGACTAGCTATAGACTACTCTAGACTTTGCCTGGGCTAGCTATAGACTACTCTAGACTTTCCCTGGACTAGCTATAGACTACTCTATACTTTGCCTGGGCTAGCTATAGACTACTCTAGATTTTGCCTGGGCTAGCTATAGACTACTCTAGACTTTGTCTGGACTAGCTATAGACTACTCTAGACTTTGCCTGGGCTAGCTATAGACTACTCTAAACTTTACCTGGGCTAGCTATAGACTACTCTAGACTTTGCGCGCCTGGGTTAGCTATAGACTACTCTAGATTAAATAAGCTACATTAATCCTAAAGCGTTGCATAATCCGAACTGACAAGAGGATCTACCAGTTGATAAGTGCTTAGAATTATAAACAAAATTGTCTCTGAAAAAATCTGACTTTTGTACAAGTTTTAAAAACCACCAAGAAAATTTTTATTGTTGTTTTATCGAAGAGAATTCATGAGCGCAAAGCAAACGGATATCCGAGATTTGTAAAACA